TGTTCATAAATGTATACGAATAAGAGACTGACAATTCAGACAACTACAGAGGCTAATGAAGTGAAATTTTAATTGAGAAAAAAATTATGCCCTATCTGATAATCGTGGAATTTTTTTTATTCGACATTTTAAACAACAAGTACAGGTTTCACAGTTTTTCTTTGTTTTACATTATTTTACATCGTGTTTTTTTCTATTATCCTCGAATTTTCTCTTGGCTCCTGTGTTGCACTATTTGTTTTCATATGGAAGAAATTAATACATCTCGTTTCTTTTTTATTTATCACCAACCAGACGTATTGTCTCTGTTCGCGCTCGGATGGTAAAATACTGTTACTTCTATTCCGAACGTGTTGTATTTGTCATCATGTTTTTATTTACTAGTTTGAGTCAATGGACTATGACCTCACCTCATAATACGCAATGTGCTGCAAACCCTGTGACCCAAATTCAATTCCCGCTGACGACCGAAAACGGTGGTGAATATTTGAACCGGTCCTGGGCCTCCTTTAGGTCGAATCAGCCGTAAATGAGTATCTGACGTGGTGTGTAAACATCACCTCTGGGGAGACAAAGGTGGCTGGATGTGGGGCGCCATAGTGGTGATATGTTAACTACTTCACCTCGTATACAGGAGGCTGTGGGTTTGATCCAGACCCTGACATCTGTCAATTTTGAGTTTGCATGGTCTCTCCGTGGTCGTGTGGATTTTTCTCTGGTTCCTACGGTTTTTTTCTGTCCACATTTATAAACATGCGTTTCCAGTATTTCGCTGCAATAAATGTCCACGTGATAGGCCACTTCGTTGAGCTATCATTTGTGGCCAGGTTACTTCTGAAAAATAGCAATATAGCTCAATGGGCCTTACCTGGCATTTTTTTTTATTTGATGTGGAGTTGGCCACCGACCTCCTCTTGTACCTTGCCGGCTTCATAGGTGCTCGCTAAACAGCCTTTGCTCCAACAGTCAGTTAAGGCTATGCGGGGATCTTTGTCGCTTTAATTATCATTACCCAATGACATAAGTAGATGAATCAGCGGCACAATAATCAACCCACAAATTGAAAGGACTTAACCTATCATCCCTCCAAGGTCAATTAAATGAGTACCACTATGGATAGCTTGGCATCTGCCAAGACGAGCTTTGGCAGGGTCTTGAACGTGCAGCCTTCCAATTGTCAGTTGAGTGCTCTAACTACGGTGCCACTCGGCCAGGTAAAGGTGGTGGAATGTTCAAAATTATAACGTGTGATTTTAAGAAAGTGTATATATGTAATCTGCGTTGCCATAAGCGTAACCAATTTTAGTAAATTAAAGGCATCTCACTGTCCCCCGGTGATTTGCTCGTTAGTTTCTATGTAGTTTCCTTGTTAACCAAAGTTCCTGTGCCCAAAACCATTGCAACAATTGATGATTTGGTCCAACAAGGTTTGAATGCTGATGTACCAGCCCTGGTGAGACACTGCCTCACCAATACATACTTCACCTAGGGTGGAACATTCTACAAACAAACTGAAGGCACCCCAATGGGTTCTCCCTTATCTCCGGTTGTGGCCAACATTTTCATGGAAAAATTTGAGACCGACGCCATCCAGGCATCCACTCTACGCCCGTCCTTGTGGAAGAGGCACGTGGATGACACGTTTGTCATCTAGTCACATGGCCGACCGGCTCTGAAACAATTCCTCAACTACATCAATTCAATACACCCAGCAATCAAATTCACCATGGAGGTAGAAAAGGATGGCATGCGACCTTTCTTGGATGTCTTAATCAAAAAGAGACCAGATGGCTCAATGAGACACTGTCTACAGGAAAGTAACCCATACTGATGCCTACCTAAAACCTGATTCCCACCACCATCCATCCCAGAAGAATTCCCTCATCAAAACGCTACACCACAGAGCTCAATGTATCTCCGACCGTCATCACCTAGCCACCAAGGTCTCAAGATGAATGGATATTCAGACTACACAATCTGTAAAGCTATCACCCCAACCGTTGGGAAAGAACTCTCTGAGGACCCACTCAAAACCATCACCTTGCCATACATAGCAGGGGTCACCAAAAATATTTCCAAAATCATGAGCAAACACAAGATCCAGGTTCGATTTAACACAGTACATAAAATTCGTGATCTGATCCCATCTGTGAAGGATGTGATCCCTGACATGCAATACCCCGGCGTCTACAAACTAAGCTGTGTCTGCGGCAGTAGATACATTGGCGAAACTAAGCGACATGTCTCGGACCGTGTTCGTGAACATGAGGCAGATCTGAAACAAGGTAGCACTAATACCTCGGCTGTGGCTGATCATTGTTTTAATGCGGTGGGCTCACACGAAATAGATTTTTCTAAGACAAAGGTACTTTGCAAGCCCACTGGCTATCAACAAAGATTCGTTCATGAAGCCATCCATATATATAGACACCGATACAATTTCAACCGAGACGACGGTTTTAAACTCAGCAATCATTGGAAAGATGTCATCAACCACTTTGGGTCATGACTTGATTTGTGTTTTCTTGTCAATCTCTCCCGTCAGCAGTGTGAATGGGTGTAACGAGGTGCAATGCCCACCCCCCATCTCTACCCCCCTCTCTCCCCCCTATCTCTACCCTCTTCCTCCCCCCATTGTCTAACACACTTGGACTGCGCCCTCGCCTTCAGCTCCACCTCTATCCCCCCCCCCCCCTCTGTCTCTGCCCCCTCCCTCCCCCCATTGTCTAACGCACTCGCTTTACTTGTACTTCTGGTGCTTTGCTCCGACATTGGCGCTGGCTCACTTTGGGAGCACTTATAAGCAGTTGCATTTGGAGGCTTGCCCCCTCTCTTTCTCTCCGCCTGATGAAGACCGCTTGTGTTGCGATCGAAACGTCGTGGTTTTTAGCTTTTATTTCAAATTTTTACGTATTAAAAAGTATATATTTACTATCTACGTGACTTTACCGAAAGAACCAAGAATATGAATTCCTGCAGTCACGAAAGTTTTAAGTCAAAATTCAATTTAAGTAACTTTATAAGTGTGCACCTCCTTGAATATAAGTTACTCATGGATTGATTTCAATATTTCATCCTGTTGATTAGCAGACATGATTGGAATTAATTTAACACGCTCATCCACCTGTTACTAAACAATGCTATATGCTTTTTAATATACTAATTCTTTACAAGTTCGATTGTCTTCATTCCTTGCATTGGTGCCTGCTAACATTTAATATTGTACTGATGCTATGTCAACATACGCAATTGTCTAGTGAAATATTCCAGCCATCACATATATCTAACTTCATTAATAATACAGTACACAAAACACTTAAAAAAAAACTGAATTTAGAGAAAAAAAAATTCGGAAGCTGATTCATTCCTTTTGACCAGACCACGGTGGTAATAATTGTTAGCGATGGCCCTTACATGTGTAGTATTCATCGTGCTTCTAAATTCATAAAAACTGAAAATGCCTACATTCTTTTCAGTTATGCCAATACACAACATATTCAATAAACATAAAGATATAATCCTATGTTCCTCCTACTATGTGACCTGCTCATGTAACAATCTCTCAAAACATAGCTGAGATAATGTTTTTTTTGTCTACACTAGTCACAACTGGTTCTTACTGCATCGGGACAAAAGATTTGACAAATCTAGCCAGCATAGAAGAGTGTTCACCCAGATACAATGTGTGGACTTGCTTGACTTGTTACGAGTGTTCACCAGTGCTTGTGCCCCTGTGCCCAATGATCCCGAATATTACAGTAGACAGAATCTTGGGAAGCTCATAACTAATTAAAAGTATGAGTGAGAAAGATGTCCCAGTACAAAGCAAGTTGCAATTGAAAGTGAGGACTTAATGAAAAAAAATATAAGTTTGATGATTAACTTGAAATTGTTATGTGGGGGTTACAAATGGAGTTGTTACATTCTTTCAAGTTGGTTAACTTCATGCAATCTTACACATTGCTATTCCCGAAACCCAATAGATTGTTCAACATTACCACCGCATTAACCATCATTGGCACTACACCAGTGGGAGAGGAGGATGGCAAAACGTGTACACATTGCACACATTTAAATATTGTTGGAAACATCTAACAATCCCTCATATGAAACAAGAAATGTAATTGGGTTATGCTATGGACAAGTGGTAAGTGCACTTTACTAGGAAGTTGGTGACCCAAATTTAATTCATAGCAACGGCTAACATAATCAGTTGCGAGTCGTATCTGACCCCCCCCCCCCCCGGCTCCTTTAACTTTGACCACCGTGATAAAGTATGGTCAAGCAATTCCCATGACTGACGTGGCGTGGGGAGGCCTTCATCTGGCAGTTGATTGGCTCAGGGCTGTAATGTATCATAATTATAACCTTTTAATGGCCACCATGGTTTCAATGAGACCACATGAGTCAATGTTCCATTTCTGCATTAATAGAGGCTTTCACACAGACGCACGGGCAGACAGTAAATATGCCTTACTATCTACAGTATTAAAGATGGCCAAGAACAATACTGCCTATCCATATAACTCCACAAGTGTCAATGTATGGAAATGTAAACTTAACGCTAACTTACAGTGCTTAAACGCATGCGTTTTTGCTTTAGTCTCATAACACGAATAGTTGTGGGACATTAGATAATTGGATAGAAACTATCTAAGGCCACACAACACTTTCCACAAAGTAAATTCCTTAATAAAGCATTTTTCACTCTATTTCTCCAAAAATGTGATTCTTAAATTCCACTCATCACCTATACCACCTCATACCAATCTCATGTTTAACAATTAACAAAATTACATACAAAATTACGTAGCCGAATACAGTATAGATGAAGTAAAAAGTGCAACACTCTATTCTTTATGTAACAGACATATAACATGTTTGTATCTTTATCAGAGATAGTTCAGCGAACTGGAGTGTATGAAGAGACAGGAGGCAGTTGTCAGAGGCATTTCATGCCGTAATGGTACTGTGTTTCTGCTGTTGTTGTATAGCGAGAGTCGGTGACGCCCCAACGTTGTGCGGCATCATGGGAGAATGGAGCTTCTTAGGCGATATCCTCCAGGTGGTGAACATTCACTCCACCATGACAGGCCGGTTCTGGCTGCTCATCTTCGTCATATTCCGCATCATGGTGCTCTCAACTATCGGCGACAATCTCTACGAAGACGAGCAAGAGGCTTTCATATGTAATACTTTGCAACCAGGCTGCAATCAGGTCAGTTCCGAGCTGTGATCGTGCAAGGGGTGTGATTGATTTGGTTTTGCTGAAATGCTCCTTTTTTGTGTTTCATCGGAAAAAAATATGTGGTAATAAACAATTACCAATGGTTGGTTTCTACCCACGTTAAGAATGGTTAAAAATTTACCTCTCTTTTCGCACTCAAAACTGTACTAACCGATGGTTGGAGGTCAAACAGTGTTAAGATAACAAAAGGGGTTCCACAGGGTTCAATCCTCGGCCCCCTCTTGTTCTTTCTTTATGTCAATGAATTGGGCACTGACCTGGATCATTCCAGAGTAAATTTTTTTGCAGATGACACAATACTGATTACTGCTGGCTGCTCTGCGGATGACGTGATTGCTAAGCTCCAGGGTGTTTTCAACAAACCACAACATCAGCTAGTTGCTCTTAAACTAGTCCTGAATACCTCCAAAACCAAGGTGCTATGCTTCTCACCAGGACTAAAGCAGGAAGTTATTTTCCCCCAATTACATTCCTTAAATAATTATCAAATAGAGCAAGTCAAGATCTATAAGTATCTTGGGGTCATTCTTGATTCAAAACTGAAATTTGAAGATCACATTGATTATATTGGTAAAAATAAAAAAATAAAAATTGGTTTTCTGTATCGACACAAGCACTGCTTCCCCCATATGTTCCGTTTGGAATTGATAAAAGCTACCATACTGCCTCTACTTGATTACTGTGAGATCGTGTATAAATCAGCCCCAAGTACTGTACTGAAGAAGCTTGACTCAATGTATCACTCGGCCTTAAGATTTGCATTGAATTGCCCATATAGGACTCACCACTGTGATCTCTACATTGGGTCAAACTTAACATATCTCAATGTTCGACGGCTTGTGCATCAGATCTTATTTATTCATGATGTACTTACAAAGAAATCCGCAGATTACCTGCTGGATCTCCTCTCTGTTTCAAAGAACAAATTTGACCTAAGGTCTTCGCTCATTTACCAACTTCACATTCCCTATTGCCATACAAATACTGGAGGAAGGACCTTTGCTATTGATGCCCCCAGGGTCTGGAATGCTATTGCCATTAAACTGAAACTTGAGTCACTACCCATGAGATCTTCACTCAAAACTGCTTTAGAGGAGTTGTACACCCCTAGCTGCCACTGCAATTCAGTGGCCTAAAATACAATGTTTCGCTCCGGATGATCGCTGCAAAGTATGATCTGTGTTTTGATTTAGTGTGCTGATCTTAAAGGTGCATTGAAAAATGTTGACACTCCGACTGATGCTCCTGCTGTTGTGGAGTGACTCATGCAGCCAGCTATGGCAGCAGAGTTTGGTAATACATGTTGTTTACGTCGTTTATTGTGAAAATTCGGTCACAGTTCCTATGATCACTGTTTCATTGCTTTTATGGCTTTATTTTGGTGATTTTTGAAAAGTTTTTCGGTTTGGCTATGTTTGTTTATTGTAGTACAGAGTTAGACTGATGGCCTTTATCTAAGTTGTCTTGTGGTTGTTGTTGTTTGACTTGCATCCCACTGGGATTTTTGCACACTGTTGGTGTACGGTGCTTTTTCTGCAATATGTTGCTGTATTTTCTTGGATTTTCTGTTTGCACATAGTCACTTTAAGATGTTTTCTTGTTCATGTTTTTGTTTTTTTGTTTGTTGCGGTTGCACCCAATTCAAGAGCCGAATGGCTCACAGGGCTATACCTAATAAATGAAACTTGAAACTTGAAAAAGTTGTTGATTATACAATCCCTATAACTTTCAGTATCACAAAATTAGCGGAAAAAACGCCTACTCCAATTTGGTGTGTCCTTTTCAATAACGATAACTGAAAATCGACTTTGGATCAGATTTGAATAAATAGTCATATTTATAATCTTTGGAAATGTCCTCATTATGGGTAATGGAGACATTGGCGCACTCTGGAAAAACAGCAGACAAAACAAAATACAATGCATGTGAATCAGGCCTTTTGTGGGCATAATATACATAGTATCTATATACACTCAGGTATCTGGACAAAGGCACTAATGTAGAACACCTAGCTCACAACTGGAAGATTGAAAGTTCAAATCCTAGTTGGGAATTCATTCAGTAAATTGTCCTTATACAGTTAAATAATGTGCTACTTCATTGGAAGTCAAGAAATATGAAGTAAGCATACAATGGCTCAAAACAAACAACATAAATATCACTCAATGCTTAATTTTGTTGTCTGGTGGTACATGTTAACTTCATATATATGCAGAATAAAACATCATGATGCATCATTGATAACAATAACCCTGATAATTGGTTTTTTACCCTTCTATCTGGCAACAAAACTGACACCTTTTTGCAAGGAGTCATGTTTGCATAGACCGCAATACCTGCAGTCATAATACAAACAAAAGAACATAACTCTGATAATGTGCACTGTCCCTGAAGTTGATTGGTCCACAAACATAAATCATGGTCTAACCCATATGAGACTAGGCTCGAAGGAAAGCTGTCTCGGGTGTGGACCAATCAACTTCAGGGACAGTGCACATTATCAGAGTTATGTTCTTTTGTTTGTATTATGACTGCAGGTATTGCGGTCTATGCAAACATGACTCCTTGCAAAAAGGTGTCAGTTTTGTTGCCAGATAGAAGGGTAAAAAAACAATTATCATATTTTTACTGGCAAATGAGGTCCCCATAGTGTAAACAATAACCCTGTATTTGCATGGTATATTATTTTAGCTCGGCTTGCAAATACACACTTGCCTCTTCTACTTCCTATCTCTGTAAAATGTCTCCACTCTCATTTACTCAACATTTATTCAGGATGACACATCTCAAAGTCATCAGTTTATTTTTTTAAACATAAATCACTATCCGGGTGTCTAAATGTGGTCAAGTCTTACCATGCAGACACAGGGTTATACGGTACGTATATATATGTCACAGAATTGTGTTCAATTTGTTAATTTGTGAATTAAGTTATAGGTTAAGTTTAGTTCTTTTCATTCCCAGGTTTGCTATGACAAGGCCTTCCCAATGTCGCACTATCGCTTCTGGATATTCCAGATTATGGTGCTGTCAGTGCCTCCACTCTCCTTCATCGCATATGCCATACACAGCCAGACCAAGGAGGAAATGGCAGAGAAAATCATTGAAAAAACCCCATTGAGAAATACTGAAGAAAAAGTGAGGTGGGAGAAGACTAAAGCTCAGAGAAGGACCAGAAGATACACCTTGTATGTAGTCCACGTGGTGTTCAAGCTGGTCCTGGAGATCGGCTGCCTCGTGAGCCAGTACTTTGTTTACGGGTTCACCATCGAGGCCCACTTTCCGTGTGAGCGCTTCCCGTGCCCCAATAGGGTGGACTGCTTCGTGTCGCGTCCCACAGAAAAGAACGTCTTCCTCTTCTACTACTTTGTCATCAACGTGATCTCAACTCTTATGTACTTGATCGAGATCAACCTTATTGGGTTGAAGATGCTAAGATGGAGGCTCAAAAGGACAGAGAATAATGAGAAATATGTAAAAGACTATGCATTTCCTCTGCCCTCATGCAAGTCCCCCACCAATAACCCTAAATCAAAAAATGGTATTACATTGATCCTGCATGATGGAGTGTTTCTAAATGGCTCTGCTCGAGACATCACCAGAGTTCAAAACTACAGCAACATAAATCATGAAAACACCTCGATGAGAATGGACCCTCTGCCTATGGACATGCCTAGGCAGCCAGACAGTGGTATGATCCGAAGCAGAGTTGGCTCCCAGTCAGTGTTGAACTCATAAACTGTGTTTGTGAAATACATGAAATATTAACTGTATACACAAATGGCCAAAGACCACAAGCAGGAACCTGATGACAATGAGGCTTTCCTTTGTAAAAAAGAATCTACAGTAATAATCGTGATCCATATTTGTTTTTGGGTTAGGCTGTGTAGTAGTTTTATGCTTGCAATTGACATAAAACTACGATGTGGCCTAACCCAAACAACAAATATGGATCATTGTATTGGCTACGGAAACCTACATTTTAAATACCGATCACAAATTTCCCTTTTTTATATATATAGAAGATAAATTGTCAATAATACAGCACAATAGTGAATACGAATATGATACATCTAGAGTATATATAGATGAGCTTAAACCATTTCGAAGCACACAGAGATACACATTTGGTTGTAACATTTCATTCCACGATCTTAAAAGGCTCATAGGTCAAATTTATTCTACTTGTAAAATGTTACCATTCACTACTTTCCATTATCCGTTCGTATTTATTGCAAACATAAATAGTGTGTTCTGTAGAGAGTTTATCACTAAATGACTGTAGACTTATCATCTACAGAGGCAACCACTTCTGGTGTGATGGACATTTCTGTATATAGATATACAGGTAGACTCCTGGGTAGGCTGGGCCATTTTCGACTTACAATATTTTCGGCTTACGATGGGGTCGTCGTAACGCATCTCCATTGTAAGTCGGTGACTACCTGTATATAAGAATTTCAACACCCGATGTGTTTCTACAATTATAATCTGTAATGTAAGTAGCCATTCACTTATGCAATTCCATGGAGTTTACAAAATATGTTTTTATAAGACACTGATAAATAACATAAAATTGACATTGAATTAATAAATTACAGTAAAAATGTGCAATTTTTTAAAATCTCTATCTGCCTGCTTCCTCATCCATACACTACTTTCACTATAAGACTGGAGTGGAAGATGTCAGTCTCCAAACGGCCCACTCCATTAAGTAAGACATCTCATCAACCCCGGCGACTGAACATCCATCAACAGTCTCCAGAGCAGCAACTCAACTATTCAACCTATATTTGCTCTTGAGTTGCACTGTACAACATGCTTAATCTTGAGCTACTGGAACACGGCCCACTTCGGAGCTTAAAACTTAGTACCAGGAGAGTGGGTTTCAGACCATCACTTCGGCATGTGAGGAGACAACTACCAGCCAATGGTAATTGTTAATTTCCCGAGGCTCATACAGAATGAATTCAGTATTGTGACAGCCTACAATGTGTGCTTCATTCATTTTAAATAAGTTGCCTATACACTGTGTATAAATTATTAAATTTAAAAAGTACGTCAAATATTTGCCCTAAATAACAACGCAATTGATTTCAGTTGTATATATCTTTCACGAGACCACGTTGTAATGCAATTTGCACAACAGATGCAATTCAATTTAACACCTCAATACAAATAAAATACATTAGTCCTGTGGCTGAACCATGCAGAGTGCCAATACATTGGAAAATCATTTTAGTCTGCGGCAGTATTACAAAACGTGGTGTCATGTTTTTCATAACTTAACTTAAACATACTAATTAAAAAGGAGTTTTTGAAACATCAAAACATGGAGCTTTCAAGAAAATGGTTGAGACCCAGTGAGGCTTTTCTAGTTAAAAAAGGATATTATCATGACCTCATGTGATTGTGGCTGCAAGAGAACCACTAAGATATAAAAAATACTTTTGCGTTTCAAGTCCTATGACCAACAGGAACGATAATGACGAGACAAATATGTCAATATGATTTTTAAAGAAGAGAATGCTGCAGGAGAAGAGATCATATAATAAACAATTGTAAGGCTTCAGAATTATTCAGAAGGCGAAATATGTGTAGTGTTGGTGGATTCTGGAGACGTTGGAACGGTTCTTGGAGGCAACACTATTTATTAACACCACACTCGGCAGTACAGTCCCAGAACACTCAAGGCTAACTCCACTGTCTGGGGAGGTACTGCCTCCGGGCTAACTTGCCCTAACACAGGACTACACTCGGGGTCCTCCGGCTATGGGTGCCTAGGGGGAGGCTATTCTAACTCGCCCTAGCCAGGGTGCGAGTTCTGACCACTGACCTACTGGACCCGGCCCTTACAAAGACGTCGGGCCAGGGGTTCCCAGGGTCTCACCACTGAGCCGCACAGCGTCCCGGCCCTGATAAGGGCAGCGGGGCTAGGGGCCTCAGGGTCCTATCTAGCTGCTCTTCGGCTTCTGTCTTTAACTGGTCCCGAGCCTGTAGAGAGGTCCGTCTTTTATCCACCTCCCAACCGAGGGGCGGGGCCCCGGGGGATCCGAGGACACCCCGCAGCCCCCACCCGTTGGGAGGGGCCCCGGGGGATCCCAGGAAACCCCACAGCCCCCTCCCCCCACAGCCCATTTACGCCCCTACATATGCATTAACATGTTATGTCAGTTTTAATAGTCACAACAAGTGTTCGCTGCATGTATTACCACGTAAAGATTTTAATTTAATGTTTGTATACGTGTCGTTACGTGTATGCTATGTATGTGTAGACCGACCCTGGACCTCCTTGTAAACTAGGTGTTCCATCTCAAGCGATGCTCCAGGTGAAATATTTCAAAAACAATTAGAATAAAGTGAGGTCTTGTCAGCATACGAGTAGGTGGTTCCTAATGGAACTGACTTTAAATGCTTTGTTTTACAATGCTGGAACATGATACCATTCTATATTAGAGCCCTTCATCAATCCAAACTCTCCACGCCATGTCACTCATGGGGGTTGACCATACCTCACCATGCTGGTCAGTGTGGATTGATTTTAGTGGTTGGCCAGGAATTCAGGTTCATAATTGAATGTGTGTATGTAAGTTGAAATTATTTTGCACGATACGTAGCCAACCGTGCTAATGTGCTAACGACTATGCCACCCCTCCATGGTGTCCATATATATTCATTCATAAAATGGTTTTGTTTGCTTATCTAATTTGGGAAAATAGAATATAATAATTCATTGAGGAAGTCAATAAGTGCAAAAATATCGTTGATATGAGAATAGGTTTTCCCCTTTTTTATGACAACAAAACAAGTGTTAAGATGTTAAAACACCAAACTGAAACCTTTCACAAGGAATCATGTCTGCATTAACCACAATACTTGTGGTCAGAATGCAAACAAAAAACGTACTCTGATGAATTCAGAGTGCAGTACACTAACCATCGCACCACCACTCCCACCATGGCCATTAATTGGTATGTCTTATTTATTCATTACACTGGCCTACCCAGGAAAGCCTCAACTCTGCACATTCCAGTGAGTATTAAACTTTCATTGTTTTTACAAAATAATTTGCTGTGGTCACCCAAAAAGGAGCAAGTTACGGTGACTGCTTTTACATTTCCATTAAAGACCCTTAAAGAAGATCTGCAGGAGCAGGTCATGTCTTCCGATGTTGTATCCAAATTTTTACAATTATTAATAATTAACCCCACTTAACTACCACACTGCTAAATATACCCTCAATGAAGTGGGGTCACCACATCCACGCCTCTATATAAGGAACGAAACAGGTGGACTTCTCCACAAATCTGGCTGTTGCCTGATGAAGCTAGTTATAATTACTGGCAAAACGTCGTACTCCGATTGTAAATTTCGTGGCTTGGCTCTCCAGCACACCGGTGTGCTGTACTAGTGATAATTGACATGTTCTGTTTATATGACAACCCTTACGAGTTGGTTGTGTCGGGTGGTGGCGGGTTTTAGCGACACATCTAACCCAAAAAAACCTCCATTATGGATTATATTAGTCGCGAAAGCCTACGTGTTTAAAATAACCTCATTGCAAGGAAAATTATCTCATGGATCTGTCACTTGGCCTTTAGATATTGAATATGCTGCAATTACTCAAAAATCCAATAATGAATTACATTCAGTTTTTGCATTTATTCATTTATTTAAGTCATATATTCAGAAATGCATGCAGATATGCTATTTTGCTCTATTTTACGGTTTTTATTTTTTTATTTTCTCATACTCTATCTTTAATCTGATTTGGTAGCCTTGCCTGTTACTTCTTCAATCATTTGTTGTTTCTGGCATCATTTGTTCCACTGTATTGTCAGAAAACATGGGATGGCGCATATAATCTCAATTTTTTTCATGCCTTGCTTTTTTCCAATTAAATGGTTGCAAAATACCTTATTTTGATGCTGACTCCACTGCTAATTTAGACGTTGTTACTTTGACTATTACAATGACTAATGCTATCCATTTCCGAACAAAGTGGAACCCTGATTTAAGAGAGACAGATCTAAATAAAGATGAATTCACACAAAAAATACACCCCAGGAAACCAATCGGATGAAGACGAGGATGTTCCAGATGTCACACTTGAAGGAGGAGTAACCACTGCCCTTCAGAGTGCGATAAAGGGAAGGCTCCCAGCCCACATGGAATAAACTAAACTAAGCCAGCACGACACAAAAGAAGGTCGGCGGCCAACATCACATCCTATTTTATTATACCAGGTAAGGTCCACTGAGCTATGTAGCTTTCTTTCAGAATCGACCTGGACACAAAGATAGCTAAAACAAAGTGGCTTATCACGTGGACATTTATAGCAGCCAAATACTTAAAACGCATGTTTCTAAGTGTGGAGGGAAAAACCGGAGGATCTGGAGAAAAATCAACGTGACCACGGAGAGAACATTCAAACTCCAAATATACAGGCCGTCAAAGGTCAGGATCGAACCCACGACCTCCTGCATACAAGGCGAGGTAGTTTAACGTCTCACCACCGTGGGGCCTGTAGACATCGCTTAAAGCCACATCAGGTGGTGGATCAGAATTAGCACACCTGTTCACGAAATAGAGACCCAGTAGCCTCTTATTGCACGCATATAAATTGTTAATAAAAAAGAGAACTGAATAATGAAAATTTAGAAGCGAATCAACAATATGAACAAGCTGTATTTAGAGAAAAAAAATCATTCAGCCACTCACCGCACATGTAGTTATGAGATTTCAGAATAGACAAATGAATATTATATGCAGTTATGCCTGATTAAAAAAAATATGTTTATAGAAGTATAAAAACTATTTTTAAAGATGGAACAGCAATGCTGAGATTCCACACGTGCTTGTATTACAGGCAAATAATGAATGTGTATACTATGTATTTGTTTTAAAGACCTGGCTGGGTTGTGCTGACAGAGCACTTAGCTCTCAGTCTAAAGATGATAAAATCCATCACAGTCGCAGTTCACTCAGCCTTCCTTTCATAGTCAATAAAACAAGCAGTGTTGTGTTCGAAGACAACAATAGTTTTGATTTAGAAAAACTGGTCCTGCCATCGGGATGTGCAATTGCCTCCACTTGTTTATGGACACTAATAGGGATGATCAGCACCCAACTATCGCTTGAGAATGTTTTCTGTTTTGAGTAGAGTCATTTGAGAAACTTTGTAAAACCTTTCCACAAGAGCCATAAGGAAGTTCAATGAGAACTTTAAACGTGAGATTTTCGTTTAACGGGGGTTGTCTAAACGAGAGCACATGCCTTTTAAACTTAAAATTCACAATACTATTGTGTAAAATCTTATTCTAAGCTGTTACCATAAATTAACTCATGAGCCCAATACTAGTTGCATACCACTACAGTACTCAAAAATACCTCAACATGTCTGAAAGATGCCTTAACCAAGAAAAAATGAATTCAACCACTCACCACACATTAATGAAGGCGTCTATGAAGAAGGGCCTTTGCCCAAGACATAATCTTATATAGCTTGTTTATCCTTTTAAGGCCACGGTATATTTGATGAAAATGTTGAATTTTGTTATTTGTGCTTGTGCATCACTATCAACACATAGTCACCAATGATTTGTTGAATCAGGAGAATATTGTTAAGATATGTTTTCTGTCAATTCTGTGTAGAACTTTTAAAGCTCTTATGCCGTTTACTCGTGTAATAAGTTGACTCTATTCTGAGAAGCAGTAGTATACGGGTATAGTTTGTACTCTATGTACCCTCTCCGTTAATGCCAGTATGTGTGTCAGTCAGCAAAGTTAGGAGTAATAGCCTAGCGGTCAGCGCATTTCGCTACGAGTGCAGAGTTAATATATAGGGTCACAACAGTGATTATCTCAACCGGTTGATGTGCTTTAATGAGGTCGTCTCGCACGTACGGTGCGAAAGAAGTTTAACATAATTCTTAAATAACGACCCGGCGCAATGTTAACATCAACATTGGTGATATTTGTGTTATATAGGCTCAATCATCTCAATGTACAATTACAGCTGTTGCTCCCCACATTCATCAGCCATACGAAGCAAAATATGACTTTCTCCAGCAGTCTGTGGAGGCCACACGGGAAGATCGTTGACATACATCCTTGGACGCAAACGTGGGTGTATGCCCGATTAACATCGCAATAGCCTGCAGGCGAGATGTCCGATATTTGGACATGATTTGTGAGAACACGGCACTGGTATTAATGCGTTGTAATACTGCAGGACATTCCATGGGGGTGGGGGGGGGGGGTTAACGAGTTTGGGGATGGGTTGTGCGCGATTGTCAGTTCTAAAATGCATTACACGCAAAAGTAACGCACTTATAACCATGCCATATAATGCGCGAGTTTCACTTGCTACGAAGTTACTATGCAACATAGGGCATTATCACTTCAAGTCTGAACACCCTTCATCCCCAAGACACCCGAATGTCAGTGAACAATGCGCATTAGATAAGGTAATGTATAATTCGGGCACAAACATGAAGCTACTTGCAGACAGACATGCTGATAGGTTTGTAAGGGAATCATCAACGAAGCAAATACATTGAATGCTCTTTAAGGAGTGTGTCTACCGTTTAATGAGTATCTTAGCTCATTGTATCCCGTTATCCACGCGTTTGCCAAAGTAGTAATGATCCACAAGCGAAAACAATCGCTCACAATGCTTCGCATACTGACTCGGGCTCACACATCGAGGGAATACGCATCGCGAGTACACTGAAGGTCGAGACGCCCTTGCAGCAAGGGGGTACAGATCATCAATAACCTGTCGTGTCATGCATTCAAAACCTCTGCCTCCTCCTGCATCCCCGTAAGCTCCTCCTTACACGCACGAGTACACATCTCGATATAGGTCCTCCCCTAGGCTAATACAAGCCACGCAACTTCGAGCACACGGTGGCTGTGGGGAGGAGGGGGGGTGGGTGGTCGTCGAGAGCCGCTTAAACTTTTCCTAAAACCGGGTTAATATTTCATCGTTTAATTCAATTACAGAGGTCGCTTAGCCCGGGGGCGTTGGAGCTCCGTTTTTTTTTTATAAGGGCGGTGGAGACATTCTCTCGCTCGCTCTCTCTCTTGCTCGCAAGCCAAGAAGGAGAGGAGAGATAAGAGAGAAAGAAAGGAGAGAGAGAAGAGAGGGAGCTGCGGACGTGGGCCGGTAAGAACCGCAGCGCTCCTGTTCGCTGGCGCAACTCTCCACCTGCACTCGATGCGCGCACGGGCAAAGTCGCGTTCGCTCGGGCATTGTTCTTTGAAGTTTCACGACCACCTGGAATGGAATTGTCTGCGTGTCCTACCGGTGGGTTTTCTTTGTGTGTGTGTGTGTGTTACGTTCTACTCTTCGCAACGACGCTCGCACCCCTGGGTTTGTTGTTAAACGTTGAACGGTTTGTTTTATGACTGCAGTCACGAAAGCGTTGAGTCAAGATGGTTTAAAGTTTCTTTTTTTTTGGTTTGTCGCACGGAAGGCGGTCGTGCCCGTTCGTACGGTTCGGAGGATAACTTACGAATAGGATGACCGATGAGTTGAACGTGACCCGTGTGATTCTAGCTACGGTAAGGCTATACGGCAGTGAGTGTAAACTTGGGTTTTAGTAACTTATCATAGGACTATCTAACAACACAATGTTTAACACTAGCCCAACTCGCATCCCGAGAGCTGACCACCATATGCCTAACCCTAAACTAACAATTTCGCCGGCACTTACCCTACGCTGTACGATGAACTCACTCCCCATCTTTAACACGACACATACTTTTAACACGAACTCTACCCTAGACTCGTAAGCACTAAACGTACTACTAACAGAGTTATGTATACGACACTCCCATTCCTATAACACCAGTCACGTTCTTCACCCCATCTCGCACCCCTAATACTATTCCGAACGCCAACCCTATGTGTGTAACCCTCATGTGAATCAGTCGTCCCTATTGGAATCTCAATTATAAATATATGAGCCCGAATGCCACGCGAATGGTAGTGCCCTGACTCCAGCACATACCTATGCACATCATGGGCTGATAGGCGTGCTCCGGCACGTTGAGCATTGTGCGTTTGATAACACCACGTGTCCACAGCACTGACAAATAAAGCTTCCATAGCCATACATTGAGCATCAGCTCAAGTCCCTTGGTGGTGGATAGATCGGTGAAGATGGAGAAAAGAAAGCATCAGCACGTGGTATATCGTTACGATGAAAACGCGGCGCAGACGCGCGCGTGTTTTAATTCGCAATCACCGCAGATCTGCTTCGACTGCCAATTGTGTTGTGACGAACCTAATCATGCGCATAGATCACGATAGCAATGCGTGTATTTTTTTTATTAAGTGCTTGTTCGCTGTGGGCTCGTGATACGTGTGAGAATAACGGAAAACAACTGCTGTGGAAATAACATAGAGCAACGAAGGGTCATTGTCCGAAAGGTTGACTCGCCACGCAGTCTGTATAGACTGCCTGTGAAAAGTCACAGTGTTTTTATTTGACTACAAAACCGGATTACCTTGTTCGAAAACTGCTTTGTCCAGCTTTAAATCAAATATATTTATCGCCGTTCCGAAACATGGCAATTGCGCAAGACATTGCCTCGTTATGTTTATGGGGTTGTACAAAAAAAACGTGTCGAGGTTGTGCGTTTTCAATGCGTGCTGGCACACCGCAGTAAATATCGTCCAAATTGTTCTTTGCATGGGCCGGTGATACGTGTGGTCTCTTGCAGACACCTTCAGAGGCATTTCCCTCTTGATGTATGCGCATTGATTTAATTGGCAATCTAATGGGGCCGGTGGAGTTACCTCGTGAGAACCGAGGTGTCTCTGGCCAAAGAGACGAGGATTTCTGAAGGGTATGTGGGGACGTGAGTTACTCAGGCTTTGTGTAACGGCATGCTTGTACTTTGCACACATATACGTGTAGTATAATAACACGTCCTGTAACAACAGTACGCACACGTTATTGAGTTTGTGGAAAAAAGTAATAATACAATTTGAAACTTCATTTTTTTATAACTGTGCAACGGCTTTTGGCCGATGAATAATGTTTCCAAAATAGCAAATCAAATGTTTAGATTTACATGGAAGTAATACGAGAATCATAATAGAGGGTGTTTGTGTTACGTGTTAAACTGATACGAGAATCAGTTTTTTTAAAATATATATATCAGTCTTGGATTGTGAGTCAGCCAACACACCTTCGCTCTTAAGCTATGTGCTGATTTGTCAATAATACCCTGCACTGGATACATTCCATGAGGTAAATAGTATTACGTAACATCGCTTCACGCTTATTATTTATATGCTAGTGTGTCTGTGTCTTAGTGCATTCGGTAGAGCTGCTGAACTTTCAGTGATTCGATTGGGAGTTCAAATCATGGCCATTGTTATCCCAGCCCATCATCCCCGTGATCCCTCAGGGGGGTTGGCAACAGCCATCAGCTTATGAGCACCAGTTCATGGAGAATTAGTAGCGATTGACCTATGGGAATACAGGGCTTTGCCATATGAATGTGGAGTTTTCACCTCTGGCTGATGAATGTCAATGCAGATGTGGCTACCAAATGAATGTTTAAGCACAAGCTTTGGGACTGGTACCATGACTGGGATATTTTTTTAACCAAAGTTGCATCCTGCATGTATGATGTGCTAATTTTAATGTGTACCTACAGGTACACAGACGCTGCACCGTGGCCAGTTGCAATTCAATAATGGGGACTTTAACTGTACTGAAGACCTGTTCCTCTTGAGTAGAGTGCTGTTGGTGCAAAGGCAGGAAAGTAAAACATAACAGGAGGGCTTAGTCGAGCGAGGAACGTGTGCATGGTTACAGCCACTCCAGGCACGCTCAAGCACTGATCACAGACTAGCAGCATAAGCCCAACGGTCAGTGTCTTTGTGTTTTGTGCAAATAACACTGTATTTATAGGAGCCATGGATATTTTTTTCTGTCTGAATGATAACTACGGTACATTTACTGGGAATATAATGTAATTTTAATGTAAAAAGTGCCGATTTTATATATCTTTAAAAAAATTGTGATATCACATTTATTTTTAAATAATCCACTTATGTACCCAGGAAATCCACGCTGAGTCTAAAGACTCGTTTCCAGGAGGGTCCTGAATTGGAAGGTTTTGCCAACACCAAATACTGTACACTGTCAATCATCAATTCCCATTTAACATCAGTTTCAGTAGGCAGCCCTGCAAGTGGGTTCTTGATATATTTGCGTGGGTTTTTTTAGTGTTCTTCTCTCATATGCGTGAGTTTTTTTCTCTCCAAGCACTTCAGTTTTCTACTGCACCAACATTGAAATAGAATTACCCAAACCATCCCAAATAGACCTTATAGGAGCCCTTCTTGTGAGTTTGTGTGCCTGTATTCTGGGTAAACAATAATTGGATTTCTCTGATCCTGCCAACTGTTGAATTGCACAATGCTCTCATGACGTTTGGTCAATTGTGCCCGTGTTGGCGAGACAAGAGCCATGCTTCAGCTCTCACTTGCAGAAAGCATGGAACCAGGTTGTCCTTTACACGCATAGCAATGGCGCAATGCTTCAAGCTACTGTTGACCTTTCATGTTGTGAACTCCTCGAAGGTTCTCCTCTCGCTCTTGACAATCCTACTGAGTCCCCAACACACCCACTTATTCATGGCTGTCAGCTTTAAGAGCCGACCATGCGTGGCACCAATATATATTTTTAAATAATGGTATGCACTGAAAATAATTATAAAAGCTGTGGGAAATTGTAAACCCATATACTGTAGGCGCCAAGGCCAGCCAAGCGACATGCGTTGTTCATGGCTACGGCAGTTACCATCGGAATAAAAAACAATGTAATGTGCATAGTAATAGTGGAATAATGGTGACACATTTATTGACACCTCACTGACTTCAAAAGATCCTGTTAATAAATGATTCGTATTTAGTTTATTATGGTATATATCGTGTCGGTGTTGTTAATTTTCAAATATATCCCTCCACCAACTGACAAAGTCAATCAAATCAAGTTGTCACGTGGGCAAATGTGACGATGGGTTTGTCTTTTTAGCAAAGCGGAATGTTGAAAAGAAAGCAACACTTTGGACAATTTTATAGACGACGTTTCGCAGGAGTTTACATCCCGCATACACGTTCATCTATCCTCTTGCTTCTCAACAACTGGTTGAACATTATGAACTCGATTTTTCCATATCCTACAGAGGAGAGTGTTCCAATATTTAATACATGCATTGAGATTGGTGGGAGACGTGAAGAGGATTTGATATGCTGGATGTTGTTTCCTGTACAGTGTGTCGTTATTATTTTAAGGGGGTATATCTAAATGGACCGCCCTGCATATTCTAATGATAATAGTTTTTTTTCTAATAATTTACTAGCCTCACTGAGTCTCAAGACTACTTTATAGGAAGGTCCTCATTTTGGCATGAGTTGCCAATACTATTTAAATCAGGTGAATTTTTTTTACTGTCGGATAATACTCGAGTACCTATAGAAAACCATGCATTCAACAGACCACGTAGATAGGCGATACAAAATGCTTCGCGTGCTGCTGTTATAATGTGGATTGAGTCACCTTTATTTATCTGGGAGTGAGATTTACTGCACCTATGGCATTCATTTCATCACAGTACTATGATATGATTTACTTTTCTTAACACATTTAATTATTTTATGAAGTTACTGTTAGAATGTATTTATTTGACCTCATTTGACAAAGTCAGTGAAATACAGTTCCTTAAATTTGGTGTACTTTGTGATGATGTTCTCGTGAAAGTGTCAATGTAATACTAAATTAGTAAAATGTAAGAATATGTGGATAGTTATCATTACAAATGTTACATTATATTTCCATGGTGTGATTTTTCCATAGCCTCTGTTTAAGCAGCTTAAAGTGCGTGAGAATTAATGTGTCACAATTACCTAATCCTCAGATGATGTCACAGGGTTTCAAAATCCACTTTACTGAAAAGAGCAGCAACTTGAAAAGAAAACATTCACAGGCAAATTAGCTCAATAGGAAGCACCCAACATACATGGTCACTCACTTGTCATATGCATATCTTTGTGAGTAATGAGCATAAACATGCCTACACCAGAATAGTAAAAGGATGTTCACCCCTTTGATAAGGCCAATGTGTGAAGTCTCTTTTGACTTTCATGATTTCAAATTGAAACATGCACAGTACTCGCTCGCTTTCTCTCGAAAAAAGAGAACAAATAACTCAAAGGCATGAGGAACCACAGAAAAGAGGGAAAGGCAGCCAGGGGGTTGAGATGGCACCAAATTCCCCCCCCCAAAGATCTGAAGGAACAGATGGAGTTTAGAGCACACTTGTTGTACTGCCATCTCTTGGAAAACCAGGGTATGACAACCTCAACATCGATGGAAAGGGAGTTTCAGGACATTTGCGCCACCACCACCGCCTGGCAAAACTAGTCAACTGAAGATACAGACTGATGTGCCAGATGCAGTGTCGGTGTGAACACGGCCATAACAGGTTGTTTTCTGCAGAGCAAGTTAATATATCACTTTACAACGTGTGAGTTATTGTTGAATGCATGCTACACATTGAGAGTCAGATATTTGCACTGTTTTAAAAGCTGTAGAGGCTGCCTTGGAAAGGAACAACGCCAAGGGTGTTTTTTTGACTTGGCCACTTTTTTGGCGTTGACATTGCATCACGTTACTGCTTGGGCAAAGTCCACCAATGCCAGGTACAATCTGGAACTAAAAAAAGAGGGGTTTACACCACTCACACACTTGACACTTTCAGCATATATATACACACACCAGACATTTTGTTTAAACTGGGCAATGGATTCTTTATTAAAAGATTGCTGTTAACACATCACTTGTGGGCTTAATGACCGTGTAGCATATGTTAAAATGAGATACAACGCTGGCATTAAATTAAGCCTACAGGGTAATATTTGTCATCTGCCACCCTCCAGCAAAATAAGTAAATCAATGAAACAGTGATCACAGTCAGTATATATTTAATGTTTGTGGTTTACATTTACTGTTGTCTTGATTTATTATGCAGCATTAAGGCAATTGCCAACTGGATTAAACTTGGATTTTATAGACATGGCTCCATGACGCATAAAGCAGTACTAAATATTGCATTGGCATACACACTTACCGTCATGGTGCCAATCTTACAGAGGATTGTACATGATGCGTGCTCTTTAGAGATGGTACGCTGAAAGTGTTTGTGTATTTGTTGTCAGAGTGAAAGTATTGGTATATTTATTGTACAGGCATGTTCACAAAGTGGCCAGGACCACTTTGAACTAAATCTGTGTTTAAGGCTGCAACATAAAGGAGCCAGACTGAGCCGGTTGATGAGCTGAGGGTGTAGTGCACATTAGGCAGAATTTATTTCCTCATATGATGTATTACATCATGTATTACATCATATGAGGAGATAACTGTGAACATATCTCTGAATGGTCAGTGCAGCTTGGTGAAGGTGGAGGGGGGCCCAAAATCAGTCCAGGTATCACTCGTCACCAACGTCAATCATGTTCAGGAATTCAACTCAAGTCGCCGAGTTTTTCATAACGCAGTATACGCCAAATACTGCACCACTCTCTTCATGCATTATATAATACTGTGTTTTAATAAACCCGAAAAGTGGAGCGGTGCAGTGGTGACAATGGCGCAGTGGTTAGCGTTAAGAAGCACTGCATTAAAAACCCGAATACCTGAGATTCATTCCAGGCCACGGCTAATGTCATTTATCTCAGGTATTGTGTACAGGCATTGTAAATACAAAAATACAAGATCATCCAACCAATTTGTCCTAAAACCTGGTTTTAGTCGTTCTGGATGTCAACATTAACTCATGCCTGGAAATGTAGGAGCATGCAGACAGAGACACTCATTTTACAACTTACGAATGGTGTACGTTAATACTGAAAATATGAATGCAGATACACATTTAAAGTTAACTTATTTAACAAAGCAACGAATGCTTATAATTATCTTCATACCCTTATGCCGCACCCATTAGATAAAAAACGCAGGAATTGTAGAGTTGTGAAATCACATGATCTGCCTTGTAAAACAAAAACTGGTCTGGGAAGTTTTCATTGTTATGCTCCTGCAAACACACTACTGATGACGGTATACATAATAGATTTGTATTCATATGTTCTTAGTGACAAAAAAATACAAATACCCCCATATAGCCTTAACAGACTGTTGGGGCAAGTGCTGTTAGCGAGCACCTTTGAAGGTCGGCACGGCATACGAGGGAGTGGGTGGCCAGCACCACCGCCTTTGTCTCCCTAGTGGCGATGTTTATACACCGCGCCAGCTACTCATTTGAGGTTGAGTCGACCTTGGAGAGGCCCAGGACCGGTTCAGATAATCGTCACTGGTGTCGGCCACGAGCGGGAATCGCAGATGGATCGCTGGGTTCGTAATGCAGCAGGCTAAGCATTGCTCCACCGCTCCTCAACAACAAACAAAGACAAAGATCCCCAGTATAGCCTGAATAGACTGTTGGGGTAAGTGCTGTTAGCAAGCACCGATAAAGGCCGACTCGGCACACGAGTTATATGGAAACCATCTGTAATTTGTCATGAAATCTAATTTGATATGTAGACTGACATTGGCACACAATGACTTATTTTTGGAAATTAAGTTATACGATTTTTGTTAATTGCATTCTTTACACCAGACGTGTTTAGGTAAGTCCTCACGAGATGTATTGTGTGGTGGCAATGATCAAATCACTGACTGAATAATCAAACTGCAGCGAGTGTGCTGACTACTCGCCTACGCAATTCTCCAAAAACACCGATACAATTATCTTCACAGGAATTAACCAAATACCGCATGAATCTGCGTTCTGACCACACAGCCAGGTGCTTGCATGCTTGGCACTAAGATGAGAGCTCCTCCATCAGAAGAAAATAAGGCCCACCAATCTTCACGTAGAACAGTGGTTACATTTTGGCAGGCGAGGTGGCGCACAGTGTTAATGTAGTGCTGTTGAGACAGGCCAATGCATTGCGTGGAGCTCATTGTACGTGTGAGATGATCATAGGAATGGAAGAGGGATCTCTAAGGTTGTACTTTACAGGTTGCTAACCTCACCATTTGAAGACACTCTAGTTTCGAGTCATAATCAAAAATAGTCAGGAAGGAACTAACCAAACGTTCCAGTGTGTAACCATAATAAGTAGTACTTTTAATTAAGTTGAAGATGTTCTGGGATAAGTAAAATGCTGTTCCAATATTCTTGTACGCGCACAACACAGTCGGAAGGAAACATGAAAAATAAGTCATCTCTTTAAATTTAGCGGGAGTAGACAAAAAGTACAACGGGAATTATTCTCTCATATGGTAAACGACTGTTTGATATACTTGAGCATTGTTGTAACAAATATTTCGATGTGTATTGCAGGCATCTTACTCAAGACGCCATTTAGAAGAATCAAAACAAAATCGAGCGGGTCAATGGATGTCGTGATTCTTCTGAAATCCGCTGCGTGAACATTACGTCTGTGAATCGCGTACTCTGCATTGTTCGCTGAAGCGCTCGGCTCTTCATCACCATGGGAGAATGGAGCTTCCTGGGGGACCTCCTGGAGGCGGTGAATGCACACTCCACCATGACCGGTCGTTTGTGGCTCATGATCTTCATCATCTTCCGCGTCCTAGTCATAGCAACTATCGGCGACAACCTCTACGAGGATGAACAAGAAGCTTTTATATGCAATACACTGCAACCAGGCTGCAATCAGGTTAGTGTTGAAAGGTCACTCATTGGACATGGGCTCAAGAAATATGGGTCAATGACTGGCATCGGATGTAATACTTCTATGACTGTCTCAATGCAAATTTAAATGACATCATGATGATTCACCTCTGCTTATTTTTGTTTTTGTATGTTTTCCTTGTGGTGTTCCGAAAAAATCCCAGTGACGTGTTGATTCTAACAAAGTAACTTTGTAAAAAAAAACCCCATAAGCCTTGTATCTCACTTACAGTTTTCATTTCTTACCACAATAAGACTTGCAAATCACTTCTGCTCTGTGAATCAATGACGCAACAATGCTGAATTTCCTTCAGAGAAATGGTTGGTGGTATCTGCCTTAACCCTTAAAATAACTATAACATGTCCCCACAAATATAGTATTGTTTAAACTTGACAGCACTGTATAGTATAATGTAATTTCTGGCAAATTTTGAGTCATCACTTTTTAGCATTTTCTCAAGGTGGTATGAATAATTTCTTATCATTAGTAGGAGCATGTCATGATTTACTTGGATATATTGTATATGCACACACCGTGGTTACCGGTTATACTATGCACACACAAGTCACATACTGTGCACATATGGTGACACTTAATTTTCTCTCGGTGACAGAAAATATAATTTGTTTTACTTAACCTGCTTTGCACAGCTCATGATAACTTACACACTGCTTTCATACAACAAGTATATGAACGTATTATGATATATATTTTTTAATATTTGCATCGATTTCTGTGTATTCATTGTTAACAGGTCTGCTACGACAAGGCCTTCCCAATGTCGCATTTTCGCTTCTGGGTATTCCAGATCGTGGTTCTGGCTGCACCCTCCCTTTCTTTCATTGCCTTCGCTATACACAGCCAGACTAAGGAGGAGAAGGCAGAGAGAATTGTTGAAAAGAAGCCATTTCAAAGCATGGAGGAACAGAAAAAGTGGGAGAAAAGCCGGTCCAACAGGGAGGCGAGAAGACACGCCATGTATGCTGTGCATGTCGTTCTCAAGCTGGTGCTGGAGATTGGCTGCCTCGTGAGCCAGTACTTTGTGTACGGGTTCACCATCAACGCCCACTTTCCATGTGAGCGCTTCCCGTGCCCCAACAAGGTGGACTGCTTCGTGTCACGTCCCACAGAAAAGAACGTCTTCCTCCTCTACTACTTTGTGGTGAACGTTTTCTCCGCGCTTCTGTGCTTCGTCGAGATCAACCTGATCGGGCTGAAGACGCTACGTCGCAGGCTCAAGCACGTGGTGGACACGGACTCGAACGAAGAATATCACCATGCTCCACCATCATTCAGTTCCGCCGTCACCTACCCTGACACAAAGAGGATGAACGGCCACGTCGTCAGTGTTGCCATGCAGAACGCAGACCACCTCAGCATCTCCACTCGAGACATAAGCAGGCAGCAAAACATTAGCAATGCAGCTCACGAAAATTCCACAAGCATGATGGAGCCCCTGCTCATGGAGATGCAGAGGCAGTCGGATAAGTCAGGCAATGGTCTGATCCGGAGCAGGGCTGGCTCTCAGTCAGTGTTGAGCACCTGAATTATGAGACACCTAATCGTGCTATGAATAGCAGACAAATTATACAATGAAACATTCTCTAGACATTCCACCTCTCCATTCCATAGATTACTTCATCCCCATCTGCTAGAATATTTCGAAAAGTTTCACTTTGTATCTCGCAGAAAATGGTAGATACGACAAGTCTCTTAGATGCACCCGATTTTAGACCCAATGGTGTTTTCTGAATCCCTACACGTGATACAAAATATGGGTTTTTTTCATAATATTGCCGTTAAAAGTAATTTTATGCATAATTCATTAGTGTATTGTATGGTATGGTGGAGAGGTAGGAGATGGAAGGTGGAAATGGGTTCATGCTAGGTAAGTTTCAACCATTATAATATGAAACATTTTCTCAAGAAGATTATTGCTGAGAATAGGTTTTTTGGCAACAAAACAGATGTTAAGATGTTAAAACACCAAACTGAAACCTTTTACAAGGAATCATGTCTGCATTAACCACATATACTTGTGGTCAGAATGTGGTTAGACCAGAGGACGCCTTTTGGCGTCCTCTGGTCTAACACCGTTTGAGACGAGGCTCGAAAGAAAGCTGTTTCTGGTGTGGACCAATCAGTTTCAAAGACAATTCATATACTGTCAGAGTATGTTTATTTTGCATCCTGACTACAAGTATATGTGGTTAATGCAGACATGATTCCGTATTAAAGGTTTCAGTTTGGTGTTTTAACATCTTAACACCTGTTTTGTTGCCAGAAAAAAGGGGAAAACCTATTCGCATATTTTGGTACTGGCAAAGGAGGTCCCATGCAGATTATTGCTGTTTTATGACTATGCATTTATAACATTAAGAGTTTAATAAGAATGCAGTAACAACAGATGAACTGTTATCTGAATTCGTCTTTTTGCGCAGAGTAAATTTGCACCAAAATGTGAGAGTAATTCGTAATTAGCAGTGAAGGTGTTGATTGGTCCTTGGGGGAATTTGCACCGTGCCCCTTAAACCAAACATTACAAAGTGATAAACAATAACAATAACGTGTGAAACAACGATTGACTTAGTATATATATTTAAATAACAGTCGATCCAATGCTGGATGAAGGCCTCCCCATGCCGCGTCAGTAATGGGGCTTGTTTGGCCATACCTCACTATGCTGGCCAGTGTGTCTTAGTGACGAGAGAGGCCCAGGTCCGGTTCAGATAATAATCACCCCCCTCTGATGTTAGCCATGGGCTAGGAAATAACACTCGGGTTTATGTGTTTCATAGTACAGTGCGCTAACCAACTCCACCATGGTTCCAACCCCATATCCTGTATACGCGAGCTTCAAAGGTGTAAAGTCTAACACCTGAAGAATGTAGTGACGAATTGGGGGGGACAGCGAGCAGGCAAGGTATGTGAGCTTACACCAGCTGTTCAATCACTAGTGTTTACTAGCTGTCATGAGATCAATACTTTAATTTGCTGTGCCAACTGTTTTTATTTTCAACATTAACACAACGTGAACCCATTGGATTCTGCACTAATGGAAGTTAATAAAAAGACAATGGAGTAATTAATAACACTCTTGATGCCTCACACCCAAGTGCTGGAAGTGGAGGTGCCGTACGCGTTGTATTTTAGATGATCTGATGTCGTTAGTAGTTGTTACTGTCGAGTCCTATAGGAGCATATGATACATGAATGTGATATTGTACTATATTTAACTTAATCACATCTCACTCTAACACTCACAAACCTTCATTTCAATGACTGCATTGTGCCTTAACTCATATTTTACGTGGATCAAGAGTGAGTTTGTTAATTTCATTATCAAGCATGTTAACCATCAAGTAGTAGTAAACAAATCAGTACTTGTTTCCAAACTGACAACGAATTTATTGAGAAGCACAGTCCATACACGGTGTTCAAAGTGGGTTGGTGCTTAAAAGACGTGACAAAAAATGTAATTCATGCCTCGTAATCCTTTACACAAAGGGAAGCGAGTGAAGCAGTGAATCGAACTGTAAGTTTGCTTCCACGTAATGCAGATTCATTAGCATATATAATGACAGTTTTGATATGTCCCAGAGAGACATGTGTTAGCCTGTATTCAGGGTATATTTAAAATGGCTCACAGTGGTCCACGATGAAATCAAAAGTGTGTTGAATAGATCGATTATGTGAAAGAAACTATTATGTGAAGTTCACTTTAAAAAATGCAATGTTTCAAGATGCATTTCATACAAAGCAACCTAAAAGATTATGTTGTAGTACATGACAAATGACTGATATTTTTTTAAAGTGTGGCGTGTGAGAGATGGAGTGCAAGGTTAGACATAAATTAACCTAAGCATAAGATACATTTCGTGCCATTGTATTTCATATTAAGGATTTTTACTATTTTATATCAATATTTGTAAAGAAGATCATGATTTTTGGATTCTTACTTGAGCTATCCAGCAAACATGAACAAACAACTGCCTACATGAGATTAACAGTGGTTAGCTTTATGGGGGAAACAATCCAATTGTGTATAAAAAATATATATTACAGTCAGCAGCTCATAATGTATAATGCCAAGCTGGGTATGTGGGTATGCAGGGGTGGATTGAGATTGATATGTATGCTGTCAAGAAATGTCACGTATAATTTTTCTTGCTTATGTGTTTTTAAACGTACATTTCATTTTAAAAAATCATATTTGTTACAATTAAGTGTACTTGTGACATTTCATTATTTTCATTTTAAGGATGTTCATATTAATCTTACCTTTTGAAAGTAATGATTGAATTATACCTTAAAAAAATAAAGTTCCTTTGAAAAAAATCAGGGTCCATGATGATCAGAAGATGACAGTACAGCAAATGGTAATGTCAATTATTCTGTGCTGAGCTCTGCATAACACATTCCTGCGGAGGGAGCTGGTAGGAACGTTGGGTTGCTCGGTCAATGGCCAGGGTCAACGGCGGCGTGGTGTATTCCGCAAATATGCCCGACTGTGAGGGCGGGCACAAGCCGGCGTGAGTAGGTTAAACGTTGAGTTTTATAAGGGCACCACGGGGTGACCAGCCCCTCCCCACCCAGCCCCGCCCCTCCCTCCCTACCCTCCCCACCCAGCCCCTCCCCACCCTCCCCTCCCCACCCAGCCCCTCCCTGCACGACGGACACAATAATCCCCTGTGGGCTGGTGTAACCAGGAGGTTCCTTCCAGTATTATCCCTTCATATCCGTGGTTTTCTGTGGGCGCATAACATGCTAATACTGGTAGTAACCTCCTGGTTACACCAGCCCACAGGGGATTATTTTGTCCATCGTGCAGGGAGGGGCTGGGTGCGGAGGATGGGGCTTGGTGGGGAGGGGCTGAGTGGGGAGTGCGGGGAGGGGCTGGGAGGGGCTGGGTGGGGGGTGGGAGGGGTGGGGATGGGTGGGGAGGGGCTGAGTGGGGAGGGCGGGGAGGGGCTGGGAGGGGCTGGGTGGGGGGTGGGAGGGGTGGGGCTGGGTGGGGAGGGGCTGGGTGGGGAGGGGCTGCTCACCCCGTGGTGCCCTTAACACGTTCCTTCGGAGTTGGTTGGACAGCGCGGCGTTCAGGGGGGGGGGGGGGGGCAGTTGGATGAGTGGGCATGTTTACCCTTCCCCCCCACCCTCCCCGACATCATCAACCAATCGCGGCGTAGCTCGGTGTTCGGTGGGGAGGTGCATGGGTGGGCGGAATTCCGGATATACACGACAGACAGACAAATAATCCCTGGTGGGCAGTGTGGAACCTGTTGTACCTACCTGTATAACACGAGGTAACTCAGACTCACACACACATACACTCACTCTCACACTCTCAGACTCACACACACACTCACTCTCTCAGACTCACACACAAACTCACTCTCACACTCTCAGACTCACACACACTCACACACTCTCAGACTCACACACATACACTCACTCTCTCAGACTCACACACACTCTCACACTCACACACTCACTCTCACACTCTCAGACTCACACACACATACACTCACTCTCAGACTCCCACACACACTCTCACACTCTCAGACTCACACTCAGCGCGGCGTTCGGGGGGGGGGGGCAGTTGGATGAGTAGGTATGTTTACCCCCCCACCCTCCCCGATATCGTCAACCAATCGCGGCGTTGCTTGGTGTTTCGGTGGGGAGGGGATTGCATGAGTGGGCGTGTTTACACCCCACCTCTACCAATGGCGGCCCCGCTCGGCGTTTGTGGAGGGGGAGTTGGATGAGTGGGCGTGTTTACCTCCTCCCCCCCCACCCTCCCCGACATCCTCAACCAATCGTGGCCCTGCTCGGCGGTTGGTGGGGGGGGGCATGGGTGGGCTGCATTCCGATGCACGACAGACAAATAATCCCTGGTGGGCAGTGTGGAACCTGTTGTTCCTACCTGTGTAGGACTTGAAATGTCACGCGCTACGCGTTCTGTTGCTAGGGGAGCGAGCAGCGTACAGTGGGGGCAACTGAGGATACAGTTGTTGTTGTGTGCCATTGAGGGGGAGGTCATTAAGAGATACCACAGGTGTTAAGGGTAACTGAGGATGCAGGCCGGTGATTGGTCAGGAGGGTGAGTGGCTGATGACTGGCGCCGGGCTGACGGCAATAACATGGTCACGTGAGGCTGGGGGCCTGGGGGCGAGTAGCGATGCGGGGGATGAGATAATTAATTGGGGCTGATTGGTTCGGGTATAAATGTACAGCGTAACGGAGAGACGGGAGTCTTGGTTGGTGTTGGAGTTGGAGTGGTTGGTGCCCGGAACAGAGACGGAAGCAGCAGGGAGCTGGAATAGATACGATAAGGGTAGACAGAGAGAATACAGATAGGGTAGCAGTGGATAGAGAGAGTACAGTGTACGGTAGCAGTGGATAGAGAGAATACAGATAGGGTAGCAGTGGACGGAGCGAGTACAGAGTAGGGTAGCAGCGGAGTAACGAGCCTTGGGGGAGAGAGAGCGAGCGAAGTCGCGGAGCGGAGCGAGCGAACGGAGAGACATGGAGTGATGATGATGGAGGGTTGTGCATTGGAGCGAACGGAGAGGCATGGAGTGATGACGAGGAGGAGGTGTGAACTATATGGGTGAATAAAAGAGACGAGAAAGACAAAGAAGCTGTCGCATCAGTACGAGTCCTACACCTGTATCAACATTTAACCTACTCACGCCGGCTTGTGCCCGCCCTCACAGTCGGGCATATTTGCGGAATACACCACGCCGCCGTTGACCCTGGCCATTGACCGAGCAACCCAACGTTACTACCAGCTCCCTCCGCAGGAATGTGTTTATAGCGAGTGGTTTGAAAAAGGATGTACATTCGTTTTATTAGCGTTTTATTCATACCAAAAGAGTCAGCAGCCTTTCACTGTCTGCACTTGCAATATATCCGGGCATACTAGGCAGTCTTAATAATAAAATACAGTATACTAAATGTACACTGTTTTTTGTAGATCCACTGCCTTTCATATTGGTGTGCATTTGTGGGTAGTTGTGGCACATTGGTTTGTACATTTTGCTATGAATCCAGTGACTTATATTTAATTACCGGAAATGGCACGTATGTATATTGAACTTCTTTCGCACCGTATGTAGCTCTGCTAATCAGGTGCGGCACACATCAGAGGCACCTTACTCCGAGTCTCCCCGAGGGCGACACAACCTTTAACGGGTGCCTTGCAAGGCGTGTAACTTGAGATAAGGATTGTGGGATCAGATTTCATGACTTGTGTTCAAGGGCGGTGGCCTCATTCCCCGGGTAGAAAGGGTTCGAGACCCCATGGTCTCAATGAGGAGTGATTTCATCGCTTTGCTCACGTCAGCGAGCCTATGGTTCTCATCTCGATTATCACCGCTCGAAGTCCGGCACCCACCTTGTGAGTAACGCCCTTAATCTAGATTTTAAGTTTTCGTGACTGCAGGGATCCATACTCTTTGGTTCTTTCGGTAAAGTCACGTAGGTATAAAATAAATTAAATCACGACGCTTCGATTGCAACACAAGCAATCATCATCAGGTGGAAAAAACACAGCAATACAATTTTTTTTACCTACGTGACTTTACCGAAAGAACCAAAGAGTATAGTAACGCCCTTCTCTGGAGGGGGGTGAAATGAATGGGTAGAGGTAGGCATTCTACACCTCCACAGTCCCAACGAGTACCAAGGGGTAGCCAACCAAATACAGATGTGAAAAACTGGTTGCCGCAACGCATATTTGTTGCCTACGCATTCTTGATGATGATGTTTATGATGGTGGGGGTTTGTGGATCATCAGTAGCTGCAGCAGCAGAATTATCGTTATATTTATTAAGCATCGCTCATCAGTTTAATTTGCCATTGCCATTATCATATATATTTACCTACATTGATCATGATAAGTATAATCTTCAGAACCACTAATATTTCTTCACATCCAAGTAATTGAATGAATTGCTAAACACCATTTCCAAACAACCTCCCCATACCTTCACAAGCATTGATGTCTTCTGCTGGCCTCCTATGGACTTTTCTGACCCATGTCGAGCCAGCTCCTCCCCTCTGTCTCCTCGCCCCATCCTCCCCCCGTTCGTTTCATCTACAGTACCTCCGATTACCATGGTTGACTGCGTACAGTGCGAAAGAAGATCAATATACATACAGAGGGAAACAATCTTGACTTTTCTTTGAAAAAATAGGTTTCATGCCTGTTTTAGTTATTTTCCCATCCCAATTAATACTGACAATAAAACCGGTGTTAAGATGTTCAAACACCAAATAGAAACACTTTGCAAGGAATCATGTCTGCATTAATTAAGCGTACTTGTGGTAAGTTCATTTTTTTTGACCAGATGAGGACTCAACAAACGGATCGTGTCATATGTAAGAGTGCACTGTCACCAAAATTATAAAAGAAATCACGTAAAAAACGAGCAAAGCAATAAAGTAAATAGAAGTCAGAGGAGGAGGAAAAACAACCAAATAGAAATTACAGCAATCGCTTACAAGAGAAATTGGGAAAACAAAGTTCTCATGGGAAGACAGTGTGAAGCACTTTCATGTGGCATCGTCTTCTCGCAGACTTTAGCTCAAAGTCTTTATTTTAGGTGTCATACTGCGATTTTTATTCATGATATATGTGTATTTTTTTATTTCGCGTGGCCGATGCCATTATGAAATATATAATGGCTACATAACACATTCAGCATTAGCTCTATTGTGAATAATATAATTAACATATTTAGACAGACCAACATGCCTCATCCATTTTTGAGTAGCTCCACATAAAAAAGTAGTATTTTTCACATATCCCCCGCCGAAGAGACTGTATGTCGAATCAGTCCTGCTAAAATTATCCACTCCCAAAAGGCTCTGTGGCTGGCTGTTGAGATGTGTAAACATATTTGAACTTTTTAATGTGGAGGAAAACATTTTTTGCTGGTCTCACGCCACCCCGAATCAACCTTATGCCCTCTGCTGGCCACTCTCACGCACTGCTTATCTTCCCACGGGAGGTCCCCATTTAAATAAACTTTTGGTTTGAGTAAGCAGTATGTTTCTTAATATTTAAAACGTTGCTACATCCATAATATCGATGTTTTAACTCCAACACATCGATGTGTTGTTGATCCCTACAAATATGAACGGAACATTGAAATTGTCCTATCGATGATTTGTGTTCGGTATATTTTTCAGAACCAAAAAAATGTCGATTTTTGTTTCTAAATTTTAAGTTTTCATGA